ATCCCAAAGATGAAAGGTTTGTTCAACACATGGAAATCAATAAACATAATTCATAACATCAATAGACTTAAAACAAGAGCCATATGATCATCTCAATAGATAGAGAAAAACTATTTGACAAAATGTAGCAGTGCTTCATGATCTAAACATGAGAAAATCTATTGTAAAAGTCACATATGCTAAACCCAAGGCCAACATCATTCTAAATGGTGAAAAATTGAAAGCATTCCCTCTAAGAACTAGAACAAGACAAGGATGCCCTCTTTCACCATTTTTTTCATCATTATCCTTAAAACTCTAGCCAGAGCAATTAGAAGAAAGAAATTAAAGAGATACAAACAGAAAAAGAAGAATTCAAACTATCACTCTTTGCCCACAACATGATTCTATATTTAGAAGACTCAAAAATTTTCACCAGAAAACTTCTAAAACTAATGAATGAATTCAGCAAAGGAGCTGGATATAAAATTAACACCCATATCTGGGCATGATGGTGCACACTTGTAATTTCGGCAGCTTGGGAGGCTGAGGCAGGAGGATCAAGAGTTCAAAGCCAGCCTCAGCAAAAGTGAGGTAAGCAAAAGTAAGCAACTCAGTGAGACCATGTCTCTAAATAAAATAAAAAATAGAGCTGAAGATGTGGCTCAGTGGTCAAGTGCCCATGAGTTCAACCCTCAGAACCAAAAAAAATAAAAAAATTAACACCCATAAATAAAATGCATTCCTATACATAAGTGATAAATCCACTAAAAGATAAATTAGAAAATCTACCCCATTCATAATAGCCTAAAAAGATAAAATAATTGGGAATCAATCTAACAAAAGAGGTGAAAGATACTTAAAAAAAAAAAAAAAACTACTGAAGAAAAGACAGAAAGATCCACGGTCTTGGATGGGCAAAATTAACATTGTGAAAATGGTCATACTACCAAGAATGCTATACAGATTTAATGCAATTCCTATTAAAATCCCAAAGACATTCTTCATAGAAATAGAAATAGAAAAAACAATCATGAAATTCATTTGGAAAAATAAGAGACCCAGGATAGACAAAGCAATTCTTAGTAAGAAAAATGAAGCAGTAGGCATCACAATGCCAGACTTAAATTAAACTATAAAGCCATAGTAGCAAAAATGGCATGGTATTAGCACCAAAACAGACATGTAGACAAATGGTACAGAATAGAAGACATAGAGACAAATCCACATAAATACAGTTATCTCATATTAGACAAAGGAGCCAAAAACATACATTGAGAAAAGATAGCTTCTTCAATGAATGGTTCTGGGAAAACTGGAAATCCAGCAAAATGAAATTAGATCCCTATCTCTCACCCTGCACAAAACTCAACTCTAAGTAGATCACAGACCTAGGCACTACAACAGAGAACCTTGTGCCTAATAGAAGAAAAAGTGGGCCCAAATCTTTACCATGTCGGCTTGGGAACTGACTTCCTTAACAAGATTCCCGAAGCACAAGAAGTAAAATCAAGAATCAATAAATGGGATGGATTCAAATTAAAAAGCTTCTTCACAGCAAAGGAAACAATCAAGAACATGAAGAGAGGAACTAAAGAATGGGAGAAAAAACTTTACCACATGTACCTCAGATACAGCACTAATCTTCAGGATATATAAAGAATTCAAAAAACTTAACACCAAAAAACAAATAACCCAATCAATAAATTGGCTAAAGAACTAAAAAGATACTTCCCAGAAGAAGAAATACAATCGATCAACAAATATATGAAAAAATGTTCAACATTTCTAGCAGTTAAAGAAATGCAAATCAAAACTACACTGAGATTTCATTTCACTCTAGTCAGAATGGCAACTGCCAAGTATACAAGCAACAATAAATGTTGGCAAGGATGTAGGGAAAGAGGTACACTCATACATTTCTGTTGGGACTGCAAATTGGTATAGCCACTGTGTAAAGCAGTATGAAGATTTCTCAGAAAACTTGAAATGGAACCACCATTTGACCCAGTTATCCCCCTGCTGTTTTTTTTAAATATTTCTTTTTTAGTTGTAGTTGGACACAATACCTTTATTTCACTTATTTATTTTTATGTGGTGCTGAGGATGGAACCCAGGGTCTCGCACGTGCAAGGTGAGCCCTCTACCACTGAGCCACAATCCCAGCCCCCACCCCCAGCTCTGTTTATACCCAAAGGACTTAAAATCAGCATACTACAGTGACACAGCCACATCAATGTTTATAGCAGCTCAATTCACAATAGCTAAACTATGAACCAACCTAGGTGCCCTTCAACTGATAAAGGGGTAAAGAAAATGTGGTATACATTCCAGACTTAAATTATACTACAGAGCCATAGTAGCAAAAACAGCATAGTATTGGCACCAAAACAGACATGTAGATCAATAAATCCACATAAATAAAAGTTATCCCATATTAGACAAAAGTGGTATATATTCACAATGGAATATTACTCAGCCTTAGAGAAGAATGAAATTCTGCAGCGCTATCCATTTGCCTGTTAGTGGATGGAGCTAGAGAATATCATGCTCAGCAAAACAAGCCATTCCCAATGAACCAAAGGTCCAATGTTTTCTGATATGCGGATGCTAATTCACAGTAAGGGGGTGGGTGGATAGAGGTACTTTGGATTAGACAGAGGGGAGTGAAGGGAGGTGAGTGGGTATGGGGGAAGGAAGGGTAGCAGAATGAATTGGACATTATTATCCTATGTACATATATGATTACATGACCAGTATAATTCTACCTCATACACAACCAGAAGAATGAAAAATTATGCTCCATTTACGCATGATGTGTTGAAATACATTCTACTGTCATGTATAACTAATTAGAACAAATAAAAAAAGAAACACATCTACATAAAAAGCATCATAGAATTAACAAGTGAAAGTGAATTAAAAACTTGATTTTACACGTGACCAAAAAAAAAAAAAAAGTAAAAGAAACCTAGTTAACTCATCCCTGTGTTGTTTCTCCAGTTCCAGAATACCTGGTTGGTCTACCTTCTTCTTTTTACTTTGCAAAATTTAATATTTCTTTTATATATAATGCCAAAAATTTTAGTTGTACTTAGTAAAAAGAATATGGAAATGTGTGTCTTTTTAATTTTGCCCCTGATCAAAATTTGTTACCTTTGTTTCATTTTCATTAATAAAATTCATATGCCCTTCATAAAGAGCCACAAGCACAACTATATGAATTAATAACAGCAGAAAATATATAAATAGGAATTCAAGTTAGGGAATGAGACCTACTATTAATGGCAGAACCTCAACTTTAAGGTTATCCGAAATCTGACACCAAAAATATAAGAATTCCTACACATACCTACTGATCTTATTGAATTCTTGAAGATAAAATTTCAGATACAGTAAGGAATTTAAGGACAATTAAGTTCTCTATTGAAAATGAAAAGCAGTAAGAGGTAAAGTCTTATTTTTCATTTAAAGTAAGGGAAAACAATATTCACTTTGAAATTCTTTTCAAGAGTCAAAAATGAGTTCATTCCTTATAGTTTAAATCAGACTTTATCTAGGTTTTTTTCCCAAAAATAATGATTTGGAAAGTTTATCAGGTAATTTAAAGGTTCCTTCATATTTAAGCATCTGAATAAGATCATGACATTTTAAATGGACTCTAAGAAAATGTGTCCTAACTAAAATTCATAGCATAAGACGAATACCAAGATCTGCCGAGATAAAGGCTTTTTAATAAACCATCATTAAGAAACAATGTTGAAAGATTCTATCAATTCCTTCACAAAGTATACTTATTTATATGTACTGCTTGAAAATATAATTTACATGGATTTTACTACTATCATTACAGGAAATCCATCAAAGGCAAATTTTCTTCGTAATAAACACATCTTTCATGTTACAATTTGGAATCATATCATGCCATGTGTACATCAACTTTATGCATTTTCCGTATGCTATTTATTCCTTTTACTTCTTGGGAGAATTTCTGAAAACAGATGAAGCAAGTATGGAAGGCCAGTTCCCATCCGAAGGACAAATAAAGTTGTAGAGAAACACTGACCTCCAGTGGCCATCTAAAATTGACATCAACAATACTTCAGGAATATAAACCTAGTACCATGATCTTGATTTAAGAGAAACAGAAATATAAAGAAAACAGAAAGAATGCCAAAGCTTCCTAAATTTTTTTCATATATAGTCCTGTCAACTTAAGAATCCTTTGAAGTCTAAAGCGAGACCAGGGCTTTTAAAAATGACAAAATTATAGTGATTTCTGTATAAAAGTTATAGAACCAAAATAGCACTTGTCATTTTGAAATCCTGAATCTCACTTTAAAACATATATCTGCCTGTTTATGCTCTTGAAATTGTCTTCTACAAATATGAAAATGTTGCAAGTATTAAACTACCTATGGGATAGAGTTCTATTAACTTCTTGAGAATTGCTTCAAGGGATTGAAATAGGTGATCTTTAAACATCCAGTTGAAATCACTACAATTCAAAAGTAAACAAAAGAGATTGTTCTCATGAATAATTAATTTGCACTAATGATTAAGAGCTTTCCACTCTGGAGAAAGTCTGAAAATCCCACCTGAATTATCATAATAATTCATGACATAGTCTTTTTTCTTATCCTCTCATTTCAATGTCTTAAAGAGATCCACAAAAAGAGAAGAACATTTGGTAGTGTGAAGCAGAGGACATTTGAGTTAGTGGGATTTGCAGGAATATGTATAATAAATACTCATCAATCTAAATACCAGATTTAAGACATTCCAGTCAAATAGACCAGAATTGTTATGTGATCATGGAAAGCAATCTAAGTGATGTGGGGGGAAAATCATCAGATGTTTTTTTTCATTTACTTTTTCTAAGAAATAAAAGTCAGTATAATTAACTATTTACAAAAGAAATCTGGAATTCCAATTTTATAAAACTAGAGTAATGGGAAACATGAGCCTAGAATTTGAATCATTTTTAGTTAAAAAAAAACACCAAATTTTTTTATTCTTACCGAACATAGTCAAAATATTCTTTGTGCTGGTTACGATAAAAAACAGAAAATTTAAGCATACGTCCTGCAATCACTTCAGCCTTCTCCAACAGTTGTGTTAGATGAACTTTTGAATAGTCTGTAATTTAAAAAAAAGTCTTTTTATTTAAAATATAGCACCAAAAGTACCAGCTACATACTTAATAAATTAGAGATTATTAATAATTACCTTTAGAGAATTCAACTAAATAAACAGTAATTGCAATTTATAAAAAACAAACATACATTCACTGTCCTTGTGTGGCACATTTTTCTTTAAACAAGTGCTCTACCACTGAGCTACATCTCTAGCCCCTTGTTATGGTTTATGTTGTTTCTTAGAATATCCTTGTACTTTTTTACTCTTTGAAATTGAATATCCTGAAACAAACGTATGTTCAATATAAGTCTTCATAACCCAATTAATGTCCATCAGCACTATAGCAACTTGTCTACAATCAATTGATAAACTGAATGAAAGAAATTTATAATCTGCAAGCAATCAGCAAAGTTGGAGAGTAGAAATAATACTTAATTTATTTTCTAAACCTCTGAGGTTCATAAGATAGATTAAATATGGCTGTTTTAATGATGTAAAAATTGAAGCTCATCAAAGTTAAATGTTTTTGCTCAGTGTTCATATAGCCAGTAACTTTGAGACTCCATTTCTGGCTCATAGATGTCTTTGAGTACAAAAGACTAGTACAACTCTTAAAATTATTTGATACTTCTTAATAAACTTTTTGTTTTGAAAATTGAGAATTACTTCAAACACCTGCAACAAAAACTAAGGAAACTTTTGGTCTATAAAGGTTACTTAGAGTTTCTAAACAGACCAACCTAGTTAAAGTGCTCATGACAGAATTTGTTTACTTACTCTGTACCAGATCAACCAGCATTTATTTATATTAAAATGTACTATATACAAAGCACTATGCAAAATTAGACAATCAGATTAAAAGATAAAAATATATTTTTCCCTTCAAAGAACTAATGATCCATAGGAGATAAATATTATCTAAATAGTCAATAATGGCATTATTATAGTGAGTATTGTTTTAGCTCTGTTACATACTAGAAGTAGATTAGTCTGTGGTATTCTATTTTATATGATTGTATCATATTGTATTTCCAATACCTTGTAAAGTGCCTAGCTCACAGTATGGGCTCAATAAATGATATGTGAATTAATGTCAAGATTAAATGACAATTATTCACAATAGCTTTCTTAAAATATAAGAGACCAAGTTATAAAGTTTATAAGAAACAGTCCCCAAATAAACTGATAAACTCAAACTACAGCTCTGAACAGCTTAAGTTCCTCTTAGATTTGACTTACAAAAATAAAAAGGCAAAATAATGTATAGAAATTGTTGTAGTTCACTTAAAAGCAGGCAGTTTCTCTATAATTTTTAGGAGAATTATGCGATGTACATAATGAACTACAGGGAGATTCCACTCTAAATGAAAACAAAATAAAAAAAGAATTTTCCTTCATACATACAGAAATAACAACATGCACTTATATAGTTGAACAGAATGAATACATGTGCATGTGTGTGCATTTGTATGCATGTGTGTGCATGCGTGCTATTTGTGAACTGGAAGGATCTTCCTGAAACTAAAAAAGAAACAATATTTCAAACCTTTCCCTAATGTCATATGGGATTTTGGCAAATAAATTTTAGCTCCTTTTAGTGACAAATACCTGATATTGTTTCATTTGTCATAGAGAAAACTGCAGGCATTATAGGTTGAATATCCCTTATCCAAAATGCTTGACACCAGAGTATTTCAAATTTCAGAGTTTTCTGGATTTTGGAATATTTGCATATACTTTAACTGATTGAGCATTCCCACTCCCCAAGCCTAAAATGCTCAAAAATTCAAAAACATCAGTGTTAAAAATGTTCCAGATTTCAAATTTTCAGATCAGGGATACTCAAATTGTGTGACACAATGGAAAAAGAGATTGTGCCTTTTTGTCTTAGATTAAACCTCCCCAGTAAAGCAGTTTCCTTACATCAGATTTCTTAATGCCAAATGGCTATTAAGGTACTTTTTAATAAAGAAAAGACACACAAACAGGACACTAGTTTAAAGCTATCTTTTCCTTAAGCTCTTCCACTACTCAAGTGAAAAATCCAACATTTCTATTAGGCATAGTTATTGAGACCTGCCTCTATTCCCCTATATTAGAGAAGTATATTTCTGTCTTCCTTCCTTCAATATCTGTGAAAATCAAAGAATAAAAAGAAGAAAATGAAGTTCAAAATATGATGAGTATATTATCAAACTGCATGTATTTTTATTTATAAAGCTTTCATTGCAAATAATATCAAACTATATATGCAGCAAAAAAGTGATTTGATGACATCACTCAAGTTTGAGAACTGAGAACCTCAGTTCCCTCCAATCAATACAATATTGTTCATTCTGTTACACAATGCTACTGACAATGAAAAACTAACCTATGCAATACCTATTCACTTTATAATTACAAAAAAGAATACTTTTTGGTAATTACCTTTCTGGAAACAAGTAACATTTTGTTTTTCTTGTATTTGTATCTAGTTTTCTTACCTGCTGTGCAGAATTCTATAATTTCACTCCATTCAGATACAACATAATCACCATCAACTTGTTTTGAGGCAGTCTGCACTGCTACCGTATATTCAGTTCTTGGGCTCAGAAACCAGTGTCCACGGACAGTCATTGGCAAGGGAACAGCTTTTGCCACCAATTTTGTTGGAACATCCTAAAAATGAAAAAAGGAAGAATAGGAACAAAAATGAAGGAAAGGAAGGGAAGGGATAAAAAGGAAGGAAATAAGAAAGGTGGGAGGGAGGGAAGGGCATTCAAGTGTAACTTTAGTCACTTATAAACAACAGAGAGAAGAGAAACTTAAATTCCTAGCTAACAAAAGAATTTACCTATTTAAAAATACTTTACACAAAGGTGAAATTCTCTGTGGTATATTCATATATGTACACAGGAAAGTTTGGTCAGATTAATTTCACCCTTTTCTTATCTCTCTTCCCATCCCCTCAAACTCCTTCCTTTACTCCACTGATCTATCTTCTGTTTTCAAGGAAATCCCTCATTCACCTTTTAATTTTTCCCCCTTATTTTGGTCTAGCTTCCACATATGAGAAAAAACACTTCACCCTTGACTTTCTGCCTCTGGGTTATTTCACTTAGCATGATATTCTCCAGTTCCAACCTTTATCAGTATATGACATCAATTCATTCTCTGGGACTAAGTAGAATTCCATTGTGTATGTGTGTGTGTGTGTGTGTGTGTGTGTGTGTGTGTGTGTATAAAATGTGTGTATAGAGACATACATACACACACACACATAATGTGTATGTGTATACACACATTATTTTTTTCTTTATCCATTCATCTGTTGGCTGACTCCTAGGTGGTTCCATAATGTGTGAACTGTGCTGCTATAAACACTGAAATGATGTAATGTCCATATCATCATAATATGCTGATTTCAGTTCTTTTGGATAAATATCAAAGAGTAGAATATTTAAGTCATATAGTATTTGCATTCATTTAACAATAATCAGAGCATTTCATTTTCTTCCAAAATATATTAGAGGTACAGGGTTTTTAAATCACATACAATTTTTATTCTTCCCAATGCTAAGTGTATCATATGTTACTAATAGAACATTATTCTTCTTTTAAAGTGTCCTCATACTTAGAAAGCATTTAAGATAAATAAGTACTTGTTAGATTTTTACCTTATGTTTAAATTTATTAGAGTTCTTGTTCTCTTTCTTGTTGAGGTCAATGAAATAGTGTGTAATTCGGTCTTTGGATTTTGAATCCATTTCCCATGAAATCTTGAATGAGTCACATGTGATATTGCTTATTTTGATGTTATGTGGTACAGGAAGCTCTTCCATCTCTGCTATGCCACTGTCTTGTGATTTGTTACCTGCCAAAAAAATGCATAGAATCCAATTAGTGGATTTTTCTAGCTATGAAATCTGTAGCAATGTACATATTTCTGAAAATAATTCTCTAATTACTAAATCTGGGATTTCATTTTGTTCATTAAATAATTTGAATGATAATGATCATAAAGGATGTTTTCAAGGTTGTATTATGAATAAAAAGCAGAAATGACTTAATTCTCATCATGTCTACAATTTCAATTTAGTTGCTCAATTTCTGCTTCATAGAGTAAAAACAAAAACATTGATGATTCATCTTTATAATATATGAAACATTACTCTTAAATGATTAGATTTCTTCTGAAAAGTCCCAAGAGACCATTTCCCTACATGATCAATTCTGCCCTCATGTAGTATTGGGTGTTTCAGCTACATGATTTCATAGAGATGTTGATAATGAAGGGTTCCAGTCAAATAAATGAAATATTTTTATAAAACTGTATGAAGTAGCAATAACATACTATACAAATTGTTCCTCCTTTTCATTGTGGAGATATTATATAGAAATAGCATGTAACCGTTCTACTAGCATGTAATTTGTTCTACTATATAACAAATAATATTGAAGACTATTCACTTACAACTTACTCTGTTGTTAAGGATTACTCTAGGAATCTTTTCCCTGTGGTATCCTGATAAATTTATGTATAGATAGGTTCAAAAGAAAACACAAAAAGATGATTGCCATGTTCACTGATATCACTAAAATCTTGAAGAACTGATCCAACATCTGGAAATTGCAGACTTTAAAGACTGTCTCTGTACTTAAAGAAATTATCACCACTTTGGCTGATAGTACAGAGCAGGACAAGACTGATGACAGGACAAAAAAAGAAAATTCAGATTCGCCAAGTTTATTTCATGTATAAGAAGACATATGGAATCAAATTCTACTCCATTTCTTCCCACATTCTCTTTCCCCCAAGCTAATATAATATTCAATGCCCCCAAAGGGGAAAAAAGGAATTGATAATAATATAAAAATATGGTAGGTCATACATAAATCAGCTAATAATTTTTTCTTTAACAGGACAAAATATCAAACTTTAATCAACAATAATTAAAAGTAACAACAATGAAAGCTACTTTACGGCAATACCTTCCTCTTCCAGATAAAATTGTTCTCCCTCCTCCAACTTCCATGAAAATCACTGACATAAAACGTTAGACAATTCCCAACTGTATTAAATATTTGAGCCACACTGTCTCATCTCAAATTTTACTATGATCAAAGGAAACTGATGGCAGTTGAAAACTAATTTCAAAGCAACCTAAGTTCTTCAATTTCATTTCTTAAACAATAGCGGAAAAATTCCTTTCTTCTCTTAAAAACTTCTCTCACACTTTAAGTTTCTCCAAATTCCCTCTACAAGAAACTGTTAGAAACTCCCCTTTCATTTTCCTCCCCATCTGGTCTCAAAAATAACCCAAATTTGCTTCTGGCTTAAAGCTTTTCAAAAAATCAAAGGAATAGAAAAAAATCCAACTGGAATCCTTTCATTGGAGCTAGAAAAGTAAAAGGCAGTAAAATAACACCCAAACATTAGCAATTTTGTCTTATTTTGAAAAGCTCACATTTCAACCTATTATTCTAACTGAAGTTATCTTTAAAACATCAGTAACATTAATGAAAAACTTTCTAGACTCAAATAGTATAAATTTCTATGTCTCATCTGTATTATACTACAGCCATATAATTTCACAACTCAGTGAAAAAAATAATTAAAATTGTTATTTAGGATCATATGGAGAAAAAATAAAGCTCTTCCATTTGATCCAATTTTAACTTAAAACTTATAACACTATCAAAGACATTATATTTTCCCATTTAAATTTCCATCATCATCTTAGTTAACAATTGATATGTATTTAATAGAATGCTTTGTTTTATATATTTTTCCTGTAAATGTTAAGATTTGAGAAAAGTTATTCTCTTTATTAAAATGTGGAAATCTTTGCTCAAATAATATTATCCCATTGGGGGCAATATAAAGATTTTGTTATATCAACAATCTTCATCTTTCAGCTACTTATGATAGTCCCAATTTTTAACAAAACCATTAGATTAAATACCTGCATTGCAGCTTTCTTACTTGGGTAGAGGAAGTAAATAATTTAAGTAAATTCTGTGAGTTCACATGTAACTTGCTTCTTCCTCATACTCTGTGAATCAATTTTTAACTGATAGATTTTTACATGAGGGACAGGAAACAATGATTCTGTCTATAAAATCTAATAAAACAACAGTTAGATAACATCACACTAATATTTTTTTAAAAAACAGTAATATCTTAGTTCTGTCAATCAAATATACTTCCAAATGCAGTTCTGTATCTGTATCCCTAGTAAGATTTCATCTTAAGGGTAATTCTAAATACCTTTCTCTACTTTACATTCTAAATTATTCTAATATTTGTGACTATATTTCTGATTAGTGATGTTGAATACAGAACAATGGCTTGATATACTTCTATCTAACCAAACATGAACTTTTCTTTCTAAGCATTTCATCATGTATTTCATTGTATCTTAACACAGCTATTTTTTCATCTGATCATCATTTTTAAGGTGATTTAAGTTCTTTTTTTGAAAACTTATTACTTTTATTTTTAAAAGTAGGGCTGGGGTTGTGGCTTAATGGTAGAGTGCTTGCCTAGCATGTGTGAGGCACTGGGTTCAAATCTCAGCACCACATATAAATAAATAAGTAAAATAGAGATCCATTAACTATTTAAAAAAGTTTAAAAAAATAGGGAAAATCAACTTGGGGCAAATCTGGGGCACTGTCAGTCCAAAACAGAGTCAGAAATTTACAGTTTATCAAAATAATTTTATGTAGTATACAGTGTTTCAGATGGATTGAACTGAGATTATAAATAGACACTTTGGCAGTAATTAGGCAAACAAATTGAATAATTTTTGGTAAAATAAATTCATGGGCAAATAAAGAACATACATTATGAATAGGAGAATCTTTTGAAAATAATACCATCACCTCACTGGTACAAAGTTTACTCTGAAAATTTGATGGTTCTAGAAATATTTGTATTGGTTGTTGAATGATGTGAAAGTCACACAAGATTTTTACTTGTGAAGTCTGAGGTTGATCTATGTGATTAGAAAGAGTATGTGTGATTAGAAAGAGAAGAGACACAGTGCATTCCTCTTGTAAAGTTTCAGTCATTTGAATTTGAGTCACAATGTGGAATGGAAGAGTTCCTTTTACATGTTTCATTTACAGAAAGAATTATCCTTGGGGGAAGGCATGATGTATGTTCATGATAAACTTCAACTGTTTTCAAATACCTCAGGTCACCAGTAACACATCTGCTAAATTTTCACTTTGGGGGAGCAGTGTTGAATATCCCATTGAGTTAAAAATGTTTCCTTTGGGGGCTGGGGCTATAGCTCAGTGGTAGAGCACTTGCTTCACACGTGTGAGACACTGGGTTTGATCCTCAGCACCACATAGAAATAAAGTTTAAAAAAAGTTTCCTTTTTAACCTTAAATTATTAAAATCTTTGAAATTCCCAATCCTTTTTGACTTTTTCTCAAAATGTTTGATAAATTTCTATAAAACTTCAGCATTCTCATTATAAGTCAGCCTTCTGTTTGTTTAATACCTACATCTGTTACAATTTACAACCCAGTAGACATAAATTCAAAAACATGGAGAAATTTGTTATGAGGGGTCAAGTGATAACTTTTTATGACTTAAAAAAAATTCCTTCTAATTAGTTATACATGATAGCAGAATGCATCCAATGCAGCCAACTGCATCTTGGGACACCACCGCCACCCCCATAACCACCTTAACACAGTAGGCTTGTAAGTAGTTTTAATAGCAGCAAATATAAAAATGCAAGATAAAAATGCTGTGAAATTACACTAATAATATTTTATATTTAGCTCTTTACTCACTGAACTTAAATCACCTTAAAAATGATGGATGATCAGATGAAAAAATAGCTGTGTTAAGATACAATTCACATACCATACATTCATTCATTTAAAGCACACAATTCAGTGGCCTTTAGTAGATTCAGAGGTATGCATCCACTCCATAATCAACTATAGAAAAAATTTTACCCCCCCAAGAAACTCTACATACCTTAGTCATTATCTCTATCCATATACATATGCCCCTTTCTCTCAGCCTTAAGCAACCACTGCTTTATCACTTGTCTTCATAGATTTACCTATTCTGTACATTTCACATGAATAGTATAATACCATATGTGCTCCTTTGTGATGGGCCTGTTACATCATCCCTGTTACATCATGCCTCATTTGTTTTTATTGCTAAATAATATTCCATTGTATGGATATGCCACCTGCTATTTATCTATTATCAGTTGATATACATTGAGTTTTTCCACATTTGTACTGCTATAAATAAGGCTGCTATGTGTACATGCATTTCAACTCTCATGGGTATATAACCTAGGAGTGGAATTGCTGCATCATATGGATAACTCTATGTTTAACTTACTGAGGAAATGACAAAACTGTTTTCCAAAACTGCTGCACCATTTGACATTCCCTCTAGCATAGTATATAAGGGTTCTTACCAACACATATAATCTATTGTTTTTATTACAGTCATCCTTTGCCCTTCCACTTTCTGACATGAGGATATACTGCTCATCTCCTCTACAGGAATTGAAGATACCATCTTGAAGCAGAAACTAGTTCTTAATGTACACTGAGGCTACTAGTGCCTTGTTTCTGAACTTTCCTGCTTTGAAAACTGTGAGAAATTAATTTCTATTATATAAATTACTCAGCCCCAAGTATTTTTATTATTTCAGCACAAGTGGCCTAAGACAATCTGTTATACTATGGTTATTTGTTACTCAATTTGCCTTACAGATAGCCAACTGAAGTCCTTCAAGATGGTTTCTATGTCCTTTAGGCATGGCCTCACAATTATTTAAGTCCTTTTCACTTTCTTTCTTTAACAAGGTGTTCTAGCTTATT